AGTGATCACTTAAAAAGTACCATTTTGTCTACGGTAAGGACTCCCCGCGCCACAAAGCCTGAGGCCGTCTGTTGCTATGGAAACAGGAATAGCTCGTTTCAGGGAGGGTAGCTTCTCTTCACTCTAGCGCTAACACAGTAGACAGAAGAAAAAGATTCCTTTTCTCTAGCCGACCTGTATTAAAGAATAACCCCACACCCCTACTTGAAATGGTTATATCTCGTTACCATAGTCACAGCCATGGGTCCAGATTGATGGAGAAAGCAGACAGAAGTAGATACGTGGCTATTGTAAGCACCCTTAGTTTTACTAGACAATCAAAATGGTTTTGGTGTTTTGGACTTCGTACTTACGGGCACGGATTCACTAAATTCCGATATAGTTTCTGCTTTTTTTTCTGTGTTTAGATATTTATTTGCAAACTCTTGTTTAAATACCATTTGGCTTTATTTTTTAAGACACTTCATTTTTGTTATTTTTTGCTTTTTTTCGTATTTTTTCATTTAAAATTACATTTTTGTAAAAATGATGTAAAATGTTTTACATCTATTTATGCTTAAATTATTTCTTCAATCATTAATTAAAATAATAGAAAACATTAAATAATTATTAATAATTTTTTTGTTGTTGCTTGGAATCAATTTTTTGATAAACGAATTTTATAATGGTTTAAAAAATGTTTCGATTTGCTTAAAAAGTTCTCAAAAGAATAAGAGAAATACAAAGAACTGAAATTATCATTAAGAAGTCCAAACGTTCTGCTGCCTTAACTGTACAAACGGTTGCCCTCCAAAACTTTAGGGATAGACACAACTATGACAAGATGGCGTCTACCACTGATATTATGGAGGAAAAGAACTCAATTCCATCGAAAAATAATTTGTTCATTCAAAGAATTTTGGCCATCCAACTATTAAGTTTTAGTCTCAGTACGTGAAAATCAGATCGTTAGATTAAAAGTTATTCGAGGTATAAATTTTTCATTTTGCACACCGTACATAACCGTTTAGTATGGTTTCAAAATATTCCATTTTCCGTAACTTTCTTCTGTACTTGGCTGTTAAAGTTTCAGAAACAACTTTCAAATTCCGCTTTTAATATGCTTTTGAGTTAAAAACATTCTTAATGTGTTCGAATTCTTTTAAAGCTGGTTACTCAGACAATTTTTTTTCAATTTCTAAAACAAAATGCCAACAAGGGATTTATCCAAAGACGATCGTAAATTATTCATCTTCAGAATTTCCGAAAACTAAGTAATTAGCTAGAAAAAAAAAGATTTAAGAAAGTCTTCCGTCAAAGTTATTAAAAAACACCTCAACATCGAAAAAAAAAGGAGTATTCGGACACGAAAACTTAAAAACTTTTACATCCATATAAAGAAGTACATTATGGCAGGTTAACATTTAAATAGATGTGTGATTACACAATGTTTTTTCAGGGGTTATTAAACATAGAACGAAATTAACAGTCGTCACAGGCCACACAGTGAACTAAATCAGAGTTGCCAGAACTTAAGTAAAAAGTAGAGACTAAGAGCTCAAAAAGTAGCGAATTCCATATATATATATATATATACGCGAAGATTGTTGGAAGTTAGAGGTGATACACGCTAAATAGCGAGCAGATTTATAGAANATATTCCCGATATATATATTTATTTTTCCCGAAGATAAACGGTTAATGGTTGGACTTGATTTTTTCCCCATCATACTCGCCGTGCATCATTCAACATATATCTTTGCGATTTCAGGAATCTATGATTTTGAACATAGATATGGAAATATTATAGACTCCGCGCAGCAAAACAAATCAAGAATCCAAAACTTGCGTGCTTTCAATTACAAAAAAAAAAAGAAGAAAAAAATCATTTTTTTTTAAAATGTAAAGAAATTGCAGACTTTTCAGAATCATTTTAAAATGTGAAGGGAAAAAAAAGTTTTAACAAAACCTATTTCTGTAAGAAAAAAAAGTTGCGCATATTTACAAATCGTAGCCTTCGAAAAATAATGAGTAGCCCAAAAAGTAGCGGGTAGCCCAAATTTTATTTTCAGTTGCGGGGATTTTGAAAAGTATCCCAATCCGCTACTTGTAGCCCAATCTGGAAACACTGAACTAAATATTAAAAAATTTAAAAAAAATGGCTATCGAAACTTTATTGTTAATCGCCATCCTATCGCCAATTTTTTCGTCGAAAATACATTTCAAATGCTTCCTAACATGTGTTTTCAACTTATCGCACAATTTATTGCATGGGAAAACTGTAATCATCTGTTCAAGACATTTTACGGTGATTCAAAATTACAGGAGGACTAATTTTGGTTATCAAATGTTTCATGCGAGTTTAAGTTACAAGTATCCTCATATCATTTTCTTTCTTTTTTAAATATACTTTTCGCCCAAAAATATTTAAAAGTAAATTTATGTAATGTGATTCCATCATTTTGATTAAAATATGCTTCTAAACATGCATTTTCAACTTTATTTGTTGTTGTTGTTGTATTTCCTTTACGTCGCACTAGAGCTGCACAATGGGCTATTGGCGACGGTTTGGGAAACATTCCTGAGGATGATTCAAGTCATGTCGTCGCTATTTTGATCCTCTGCAGAGCGGATGGCACACCCGCTTCGGTAGCCCGACTACCTGCACGCTAAGTCGAGCACTTTAAGGTAGAACAGTTTAAAGAGGACTCGTACTGCACCCCCTCGGTCCCTACGCAGACTAATCCAAGTGATCACCCTCCCCCCCGAACACTGGCTGGACTTCGGTGATCTGATCTGCTGGGAACCGTGTCTTAACGATCAGTCAACTGAAGGACTTTATTATTTATTGCACGTAAAAGATGCAATCACGATATTTTATTCGAGTATTATTCGATATAATTTATTCGAGTTCAAGTTCCAAGTATCCTCATATCACTTTCTTTTCATTTTACGATCAATAATACTTAAAAGTAATCTAAATAATGTAATTACATCATTATGATTGATTAAATCTATTTCAAATGTATTTTGTAACGAATAAATTTCATGATTGTTTATAAGCATATATATTTTAAATTACATTATTGACTCAAAAACTTTAATGCCTAAATTTTATTAGTAGAAAATGTTATATACAATACTGAAATTTTTCGTAAACCTACTTGGGGAGGTCAGAAATTTTTTTCTTTCCCTTTAAATAGATTAATAAATACTGTAGTACTTGCAATAGCTTGATAATTGCTTCAGAAGATATGCAGCAGTTTTTCATTTTTAATAATTTAGAAATTTTATTTTTTTGAAAAAAACTGGCCCCTGTGATGCCACAATGGGCATTACATATATATATATATATATATATATATATATACATATATATAGATATATATATA